GTATTTTTCACAGCAATGCATTCCCTCCAAAACACTAGAGGGTGTCCGTCTGTGCGTCAGCATTGACTTGATGGCAGTGAGTTTTGAGTTTGTTTGTTTATTTTTCTGAGTATTCACTATGTACCAGTTTCTTCATAAAAACCCATGTGGTAGGTTATTGCTATCCTCATCCTAGAAATGAGGAAAGTGAGGCAAAATGAAATAATACAAATTAACCGAAAGCACTGAGCTGGGAAATAATATGACCAGGATTATGAACCAGGGGATTTGGCTTTAGGGACTGCTGTCGTGACCACCTCAGATTGAAGAAAGTAACTTGTTAAAGACAAAGTTTTGGAGGGTTTTCAGTCAGATAGCTAAACCATCGTTTCTACATAAAGAGAAATATCACTCTCTACTTCACACCACGCTACAGCTAGCCTGCCTCAGCCAACGTCCATATTCCTTAGAGTACTGAAGTGTGTATATGTCTCCTTGTGTTTTCTTTTGCATTTTTTAAAGCACCCTGTTACTGGAATATGGGATCATCGCCTCATGGCTGGCCGGACAATCAAATGTTACCTTTGCAACAGCTTATCGGAAGTGAACAAACAGGGGGCTGGGGTAGGGGGTTGGAGGAATTGAGCAAGAATTTCTAGGACACCAACCTCAGAGAATGGTCAAGAGATAGAGTGTATTGATCCTCTAAACAGGACAAAGTTGATGATTAACAACCCCCCCTGTAGATTTAAATGGGTTGAGGACCAGGATTAAAAGCAAACCTTTCTTCAGCCGGAGCCAATCCCACCTTCAGCAAGATGGCTTCGCTGAGGGTCTTCTGCTTGTTTCTGAGTGTGGTGGGCACAGGATGGGTATGATCCTTTTTTATTCTCTCTCCTTTTTCTCAGTGGTGTTCACGGCACACCTTCTGTGGATCTAAGTCAGCGTTATCTTGACATTCTCAACCTTACAATCTCTAGCAAACTAGGCAAGGTCAGAGGTGGGCTTGACTGCTCAGGAGGACAGAGTAATATAACCCAAGAGGTATAAATTCACCAGGAAAGTTTTAACACGCATAACTCAGTCTTATAGCACTGGTTTGTTCTTCTTTCTTTTTTTGAAAAGCAAGATACCTTTCAGTACTTTCAACAAGTTCTTCCTGGTTCTGTCATGACTGCTGAATAGATACCAAAATAGATACAAACATTTAAATCTGGGTGTCTGAACAGAATAAACGATAGTTTGATGGCCTGCTAGAAACTCAGTCTCCCTCTGAGAAAACAAGAGCGGTATGTACAGCAGACTCGCACAGTCAGAAACTGCAACGGCTGACGCAAAGACGGTGGTCAGCAGTACTGGCATTAATCCAATCTCATGAACTGGGCTCCTGGGAGTTCTCTCGTATCTTTTCTAGTCTTTTACTCCAGTGCTTTGCCCAGTTACGTTCCCCACTCCAGGTGTCATTTCAGGACTCCCATGTTTTAAAAATTCAAGTGTGTTCCTATTTCACTGCATTTGGCCTTGACTGAATGAGTTCTAACTGGCTGAAATGCTCTGGGGCTTTGTAATTGTGGCATTGCATGCCATTATAATGACAGAAGAAAATAATCTTATATTAGGAATTTTTTCTTTAATTCATAATTTTTTTGCTATTTGCCCATAATAAACAGAACCGTTAGCTTTAATATAATTTTTGAGGGGTGGGTTTTATATTTCTTTCAAGAAAAAAAAAAAGAATTATCCTCAAAAACCTATTACGTAGTCAAGTGAGAAGAGATAAATGTGGTTATTTTGAAAGCAGTTATATTCTTTTAAGAAACTCCAGAGACCTATGTAAAAAGAAGGGAAGCTTGCATTCATAAGGTTTCTAAACTATGACAAATATTTTCAAGAGGCTCAGTTACCTTCTGGCTATTCATCTACAATGTTAATCCTAGTGTATTTCTTGCCCTTCACTGCTTATAAACCCTAATAACAGAAACTGAAAAAAACTAAGGATTTTCTAACTTAATTTTCTCTTTCACAGTAAAATAACAAATAACTGAAAATAACTAAAGAAGGTTGTCTGATCATTTCCTCCTTATACTAAAATAATAAATAAAAACTTTTGGTAAATAAGAGAAATCATTTACTAAACTAATATTGCAGGTTCTGCATAGTTTTTAATCATTTCACCTTTCTCCTGTAGAAGCTTTAGAAATTGGACTTTTCTCTATTATTATTATTATACCATTTATTTTGAAATATAAAGTTCTTAATTTATTTGTTCAATAAAATGATTATACTATTCCTTCAAATAAATTATTCTTGATTGATTGAATTATTACTTGAATTTTATTAAAACAGAGAAGACTGCAAATGTTGATTAATTACAAAATTAAACTATTTGGGGTTGAAATGGTAATGATACTTTTTTTAAATGTTAGTGTTATAGAACAAAAATAGCTGATATGTTAAATCCACATTCTTTCATTAGAATATAAAGTCTTGTTGGGTTGACTATTCTAAACCTTATTTCACTTTATGGATCACAATAGAAAAAAATTTACTCTGTATTCCTAATTCTAAGGGACTTAGAAAGTGGTCATTCATGAACTGTTACTTTATTTCTAGTCTACATTCTACATTACAATAAAGATCATTGCATGAGAGAGTAACCTAGAAAACATATCTGAGCCTAAATTGGCCAAATTTGTGTGCCTAGCATATGTTTGCCCAAATGATTGACCCATTGCTAAAGGTTATGGTTTGAAGGTGATTAAATTAGGCAGTGTGGAGTTTTTCCTACTGAATCTTGGATTAGAGGTGAAAGAGCTCTTTAAATGTTTTAATTATTTTTTCCATCAGCAGAGATTAATGAAAATGAAAAGGTCAAACTTGACCTTGTTTTGTTGATTAAGATAATTTTACATTGATAATGAATCCTTTAAAATAGTTATCATTTGTTCCATGCTTATCTGGTGTTAAGAAATTTGTGCACTAAATTTCTCTGATTTTTTAAATTGGCATTAAGAGTGATGAAAGATGAGGGAAACTGAGGTTTATGGTGGGTGGTGGGTGCTTTCACCTCTCGGAGTCCTCACCCTTTCTTGGGACTTACAGGTGGGCTAGTGTTGTCTCCTAAGGTAACCCTTCTCTCCCTCTCCCTCTCCCTCTCTTTCTCTGGTGTGTGTGTTCTTCACTTTAAAGAGTGCAGATACAGATGGAGGTGACTTTTTAGCTGAAGGAGGATCTGTGCGTGGCCCGAGAATTGTGGAAAGACAGCAATCAACCTGCAAAGAGACTGACTGGCCTTTTTGCTCAGATGATGACTGGGTGAGCAGCGGGGACAGGGACTGGGCATGGCTTCCCTGAGATGCTAGCAGAGCTCAGAAAGCAATTGGTCACAGTAACTTTTCCCAACTTATCTGATAGCTCTTTGTATTTCAACTGAAAGATGACAAATGCAAAGAAACCCATCAGAGCACTGTTTTAATTCTCAAAATAACATAAAATCGCTCAACTAAACTCTGGATTCTTCGTGGGATTTGTAGATTGTATTTAAGTTGCATGTTTAGGCAAGTACTAGGAACCTGTTGTAGCTTCTGGATTTCAAAGGCCCTAAGAACCCCTTCTGGTGACATGGTGAAAGTGCTCGGCAGGTATTTAAAAGATCAGTTATTTGAATCCACCAGTTATTCTGCCACAGAATGATGTGTCAGTGGCTTTGTAAAGATTACAGCTTTGGAAACTGTAGAGGGGGGGGGCGCATTCCCCTAGGTCCTATAAGATCTCCATGAATCAGAAGTGACGCTTTAGCAATGGATTAACATCTGTTGAGTGGATTGTCATTGAGGAGTTTTGTCTATGTCCTCTAACTATCCTCCTACCCACTCTTAAACCAACAGATGATCTGAAGAGATAGGGGTTGGACGGAATGGGGTGTGCACGAAAACCTGAAAACATGTGCTGGATCCAATATAATTTCCCCCTTCACTTTCAGAACCAAAAATGTCCTTCTGGCTGTAGAATGAAAGGGTTGATTGATGAAGCCAATCGGGATTTTACAAACAGAATCAATAAGCTCAAAAATTCACTCGACGATTATCAGAAGAACAATAAGGATTCTAGTTCTGTGACCAGGAATATAATGGAACTTTTGAGAGGGGACTTTTCCCAAGCCGGTAGTAAGTGTTACATGTGTGCAACTTTGAATTTATGGCAAAAAAACAACAAAATTCCTAAATAAATATGTCTCCTTAAAGCTACAGAGATTGCATTTCAAAACACTTAGTATAGGAGCATCTCTGTTACATCTCAGAATTGTAAGAAAGATCGTGTTTCTGTTATTTTGATATTTGATATAACAAAAGATAGCTTTTTAAAAAATTGTTTATGGTCACAAAGTAAGTCAGAAATTGGGTTGAAAACTAGAGCATATCTGTGTGTGTGTGTGTGTGTGGTTTTTTTTTAAGAGAATGTCCTGAAAATGAAAAATGGCATGGACCTTTGAAGAGAGATTTTTGTTCCTATATTACTCAGGAGTAAATTGAGAGGCGAAAGTTTTTTCTAAAAGGCACAAAGCTGTCACTGGATGAAACTGTGATTTAAAATGACAGACACCCCTAAACTGACTATGTAGATATTATTGCATTTAAAATATAAAATGATGCTCTATCTTTCTCATGAAGCATCCATTTGGAGAAATGTGTGGATTTATTTCCCATAAAGAAGCACGTTAAGGATAAGAAGCATTAGCTTTGTCTGGGCATGGGCCGTAAGTTTACTGGGACCCTGTCTTTGCTGTGACTCTGTATAGAGAAAATGAAATTCTCTCCTGGGGTAAAAGGAAAAGCTAAAAGGTGGCCTGAAACAATTCTTCAAACAAAATAAAATTTCATAATTAAAACAAACAAACATGGAAACTGTTTTTTTCAAAGATACTTGAGTGCTTTCAAGTCGGTGGTGCATCATTAGCTACCAAGAGAGTGATCCTTTTGCCGCTAAAAAAATTTAGAAAGCATTTCACATCTGGAGCTGGGTGGGAGCAAAAAGAAAATTCAAGAACATGCTCTTGTTCCTTGATTAAGGACATAATAAAACAATTGGAATTTCTTTGGAATTTTAAAGGTATAACTTGGGGGAAAACCTGACAGTTTCATCACATTCCAATTGTTTTATAACAGAACTTTTCATTTTATCCCCTAAGTACACCTTTTCAATTCCAAAGAAGTTTTTCTTGGTTATTTATTTGGATTGGTCCCTGCTTAGAGGGATTTTCCGTGGCATGCATGAATGATGGCAAGGCATAACCCCGTACAAAAGGGAAATGTCTAATAGATGTGGGTTTCACAAATTCAGTGACAATAGAGTCAAAAGGCTATAATAAAAACAAAATAGAAAATATTTATTAGTACATTTTTCCTGCCTGTGTGTGTGTGTGGGGGTGGTGGCTTGGCTATGACAGACACACAAGCCATTCAGCAGCTACTTCATGACACATGTTTCCTATTTCAGACCATGATAATATCTATAATCAAGCATCAGATGATCTCAGAAGCAAAATTGAGGTCCTGAAGCGCAAAGTCACAGAACAAGTACAGCGTATCCAGCTTCTGCAGAGCAATGTCAAGTTTCAGCTGATAGAAATGAAACGATTGGAGGTAAGACTGTAGCTCCGGGGCTATCTTTTGGAATAGCAAGAAAAAGGAAGGCAACCATCCTTTATTGACTCTCTACTATATGCAGAGGGTCAGATTCATTGGGAAGCCCTGGTGGTGTAGTGATTACAGGTTGGTCTGTGATCTGCAAGGTCAACAGTTGAAACCCTCAGCCCTTCCAAGGAAGAAAGGATGAGGCTTTTCGACTCCTGTCAACAGTACGTCTCAGAAACCCACGGGGGCAGCTCTAACCTGTCCTATAGAGTTGTCATGAATCAACATCAACTCAATTCAGTGAGTTAACTTAATTGCTGTTGTTTTTAGTTGCCAGCCAGTGGATTGAAACTCATGGCAACTTCACATATGTAGAGTAGAACTGTACATAGGGTTTCTAAGGCGGCGGCCTTTCAAAACATTACCAGGTCTCACTTTTGAGGTGCTTCTGGATGGGTTGAACCACCAACCTTTGGATTAGTAGTCCAGCACCACTCAGAGACTCCTTTATCTAACTACCAAGTATTATTTTCTCTACTATGCAGATGAAGAAACAAGTTCTGAAATATTACATAGAAATTTCAAGGACACATGCATACACATTTCCAATATAATGTTGCCCTCGTTTGTCTGACTGCAAAGTCCTTGCTGTATGCAAGTTACCTCCAGACTCGTCTGAGTTTCCAGTCTCAGTCTCCTTGAGGATCCTTTAATTAGAAAATCTGTACAAAGAGATTGACACTTTACTCTTGATCCATTCTAATGTTTAGATGAGTCTAAGTAGTTCCTTGCTGCTTATTATAACTAGCCTTACAGAGTAAGAACGCCAATACTCAGCATCTCTTCTACTGAGACTGCTACATAAATGGGAAATAACTATATAGTATAGGTTTCCAAATCAAAGAAATGAAGCTAGTTTACCAAAAAAATAAATTTAACTCCTTGGAGCTCAATAAAACACTCACACAGTACCACAGAGTCAATGCTGACTCATAGAAACCCCTTGTGAATTTCCGAGATTGTAAGTGTTTAAGGAAGCAGAAAATCTTACCATAGTGAATGATGGGGGGAGTGCGGAGTGGAGATCCAAAGCCCATTAGTAGGCCACTGGAGATCCCCTTGCAGAGGGGTCTCGGGGAGGAGATGAGCCAGTCAGGGTGCGATGTAACAACGATGAGAAATACAACTTTCCTCTAGTTCCTAAATGTTTCCTCCCTGCTCCCACTACCATGACTCGAATTAGACCTTGCAAGGCTGGCTAGACCAGAGGATGTACACTGGTACAGATAGGAACTGAAAATACAGGGAATCCAGGGTGGCTGAGCCCTACAGGACCAGTGGTGTGAGTGGCAAAACAGGGAGGGTAAAGGGAGAATGGGTAGGAAAGAGGGAACCGATTACAAGGAACTGTGTGTGACCTCCTCCCTGGGGGACAGACAACCAAAAAGTGGGTGAAGGGAGACATCGGGCAGGGCAAGATATGACAAAATACCCATTTATAAACTATCAAGGGCTCATGAGGGAGGGGGGAACGGGGAGGGAGGGGAAAAATGAGGACCTAATGCCGGGGGTTTAAGTGGAGAGAAAATGTTTTGAGAAACGATGTACAAATGCGCTTTACACAATTGACGTGTGTATGGATTGCGATAACAGTTGTATGAGCCCCTAATAAAATGTTAAAATAAATAAATAAATAAATAAAATTTAAAAAATTTTAAAAAAAGGAAGCAGAAAACCCAATCGTTCTCCCATGGAGTTACTAGTGGTTTTGAACTGCCAACCAAGCGGATTACAGCTCAATGCATAATCACTACACCACCAGGGCTCTCTGATCCTTAATAGACATAATTTATTTATATCCACCTTTTCTTTGTATCTTTCTCCCCTTCTCTCTAGGTGGACATTGATATTAAGATCCGATCTTGTAAAGGGTCATGCAGTAGATCTTTAGCTCGTGAATTAGATTTAAAGGACTATGAAGATCAGCAGAAGCAACTGGAACAGGTCATGGCCAAAGACTTGCTTCTCTCTAGAGAGAAGGACTACTTACCACGGATAAAAATGAGTCCTGTTACAGACTTGGTTCCTGGAGATTATAAGAGCCAGCTTCAAAAGGCCCCTCCAGAGTGGAAGGCCCTAGTGGAAACAAAGCAGATGAAAATGGAGTTAGAGAGACCTGGAAGAGTTAGGGTTGACTCAGGATCTGATCCATCTCATGGGTCCAGAGTAGAACATGAGAGCTCCAGGGCTCCTGATCAAGGTGGTACTAGGCCTAGGAATCCCACAAACTCCGGACCTGGCAACACTGGCACTCGGACTCCTGGAAGCTCTGGACCTGGAGGTTCCAGCACTTGGAACCATGGAAGCTCTGGACCTGGAGGTTCCAGCACTTGGAACCATGGGAGCTCTGCATCTGGAGGTTCCAGCACTTGGAACCATGGGAGCTCTGCATCTGGAGGTTCCAGCACTTGGAACCATGGGAGCTCTGCATCTGGAGGTTCAAGCACTTGGAACCATGGGAGCTCTGGATCTGGAAGTTTTAGGCCGGATAGTTCAGGGTTTGGGAACACCAGGCCTACCAACCCAGACTGGGGTGAATTTGAAGAGGAGTCGGGAATTGTAAATCCTGGGACAGCAAAAGAGTTCCACACAGGCAAGCTGGTCATTTCTAAAGGAGAAAAGGAGCTTCTGATTGGTGACGAAAAGGGTGCCTCTGGTGGCACAACCACCACTCATCGTTCATGCTCTAAGACCATCACTAAAACTGTTACAGGCCCTGATGGTCGGAAAGAAGTGACCAAAGAAGTCGTGAACTCAGACGATGGCTCAGACTGTGGCACTGGAACAGACTTTGACATGTTCCACACTTTGACTGGCAGAGGGAGTCTGGATGAGTTTCGACTGCGGCACCCGGGAGAAGCAGAGTTCTTTGACACTGGCTCAACAGGAAAATCGTTCTCAGAATTACTGTCATCATTCAAAGAGCCTGGAAGTAAGACCCATTCAAGGGCTTCGGAGTCTGAGATCTTCACAGAATTTGGGGTACCTGAGTTCTCTACCAGTAGCAAAACTACAAGTCACAGCAAACAATTTGTAACCAGAGGAGACTCCAGGATTGAAAGCAAGAGTTTTAAAATGATGGATGATGGTGAAAGTGGAAGCCATTCTAAAACTCGTCGAGCCAGAGGTATCCACACTTCTCCCTTGGGGAAGCCTTCCTTGAGCCCCTAGACTAGGTTATGCCTTCAGTGTGCTCCAGAGCACCCGGCATTTCCCCATTATTTCCTATGGCACTCTACTGAAACTACACCTTTATTTCTCTGGTTTTGTTAGACTGTAAGTTCCATGAGGGCAGGGACTGTCTATCATGCTCATCTCTGTATTTCCAAATGCCTAACCATGCAGAGAGCAAGACTCAATAAATGCTTCTTAAATGAATGAATGCTTCCTTCTGAAACTAGATTTTGAGTTCATTTAACCAAACCCTTTCACCACTGAAAATGTGAGTTGTTAACACTTGTCATCCATTTTATTAATCAGCTTTTCAGTGTGCGTCTCAGTTGGCATTTAGGTCAAGTTAAAAATAAGTTACATTCCATATTAATTGATGCCTCTGTATCTTTATTGTTTGTTTGTTTTTGTTTTTATGTGCAAGTGAAAGTCTAGTTAAATTGCAAGGAGAAAAATCCCTTCATTTGCATTGGGATCAGATCTATCCCAATGTAAGTAAGTCACTTCCCCAAGAAAGGCAGGAAAAGGAAGCCACTATCTACCATCATTTAATCTAGGCCATACCTGTTTTTGTAAAATTCAATGAAGGTAACTTCTTCCAACCAGCTCAATTTTTTTTTTAGACTGTGATGATGTCCTCCACATACATCCTTCAGGTGCCCTCAGTGGCCTTTTCCATATCAAGCTACCAGGATCCAGTAAGCTTTTTTCTGTTTATTGTGATCAAGAGACCAGTTTGGGAGGATGGCTTTTGATCCAGCAAAGAATGGATGGATCACTGAATTTTAACCGGACCTGGCAAGACTACAAGAAAGGTTTCGGCAGCCTGAATGACAAGGGAGAAGGAGAGTACTGGCTAGGGAATGAATACCTCCACACACTAACCCTGAGGGGTTCTGTCCTTAGGGTTGAATTAGAGGACTGGGCAGGGAATAAAGCTTATGCCCAATATCATGTCCGGGTAGGTCCAGAAGATGAAGCCTATGCCCTCCAGGTCTCCTCCTATGAGGGCACGGCAGGAGATGCTCTGGTAGAGGGTTCTGTGGAGGACGGGCTGGAGTACACCTCTCATGCAGGCATGCAATTCAGCACCTTTGACAGAGACGGAGACCAGTGGGAAGAGAACTGTGCAGAAGTCTATGGAGGAGGTTGGTGGTACAACAGCTGCCAAGCGGCCAATCTCAATGGCATCTACTACCCTGGGGGCTCCTATGACCCCAGGAACAACAGCCCTTATGAGATTGAAAATGGAGTGGTCTGGATCCCTTTCAGAGGAGCAGATTACTTCCTCAAGGTGGTACGCATGAAAATCAGGCCACTGGCCGCCCAATAGACTGAGAAAGTGGACGGTTGGGTGGGAGATCATGCCCAGTGTGTTTGCTTAGAGAAGCGAGAAGGGGAAAGAAAGAAAGATTAAGCAGTCCTTACAATCCCCTAAAAATCCCCAGGTGCTATTCCATTGTTCTTTGTACTGTACCTAAATGTAACTGAGACATATTAAAATAAAGTTATGAGTTTTTTTATCTTTAAAATTACTCTGTGGTTCCTTAAATTATTTTCTAAAGGGACATTCAGTACTTCAGAACACAGTGTCAGATGGAAGCTCCACCATGGAGATGCTGTTTTGAAACCTTCCTCCACCACTCAAAGTCATGGAGCTATTATAAATAAAAAGATAGCTTCATCCACGAGATGGAAATGGTTTTAAACAATATTTGAAATGAAAACTAACAGGTGTGAACAATAGGAGCCCTGGTGGTGTAGTGGTGATGAGCGGGACTGTAAATTGCAAGGTCCACAGTTGGAAACCCACCAGCCACTCCTCAGGAGAAAGAGAAGGCTTTCCACTGCCATAAAGACTTACAGTCTTGGGAACCCGCAGGGGTAATTCTACCCTGTCCTGCTGGGTCAATATGAGTCTATGAGTCTGCATAGACTTAATGGAACGGAGTTTGCTTTTGGTTTGGTTCAACTCTTCTCTTAGCAAGCGGACGCCGTTGGGCTGGAGAAACATCAAGACTTTGAGAGGAGACCACCACACACCATTCTCAATTGTCCCCCTCCTATTTTAACCAGCTTCCTCGAAAATAAACAACAAAACATGAAAAGTGTACTAAACATCGTGTAAATATTTACCAACATTCCAACTATTTTAGAGAGATTTACACATTGGTGAACAAATCAACACTCCACCCTCAGAATTTTCCTACCAACCAGAAAGGGTCCTTTATGATACATTAGTTACATTGAAAAAAGCAAGACATTAGTTTGAAAACATCTCATTAAAAAAGATCCACATCCTGTTTATAAAACGAAGATTAACCTTAGTTGTATGTTTTAGGTGATGCAAATTGCAAGTGATATTTGGTCCTAGCCCAGGTTTTTAACTCTTGGTTCACCCACAGAAATGATTTCCTAGTGAGAACCACTTGCCATTTGTCCTTGAAAATGTATTAAAATCCCCCAGACAATCCATTGAATTCCCCTCACTTGCACAGTTTTTATTTCAATAGAAATGTCTGGCCTGGCTACCAGAAAAAGACAAAGGGAAAGAGGGAGGGCACAGGAGAGAAAAAGAGAAAAAGGAAGATAGGGAGGGAGGCAGGCCTAGGAGCCAGATCCTAGCAGAGGAGAGCAAATAGAGGTGAAAGCAATTTTAAACAAGTCACACCACAAAACAACAGTGTTTCTGAATTTCTTGTGTGGTCTGAAAATCCTTGTCACACTAAGTACTTTTTAGATCACTGAATAAGAACTTCTTTTAAAAAAAATTTAAACTCTTTATTTCTTTCATGCACCAAAGCTCCATGCTCTCACTACCCACCCCCTATTTATTCTCATGCATGTACACCCATGGGACTTGAATTATGGGTAACAAATATCATACTTTTGAGATAACCATGCTATTAGGGATAGACAGAGGTCCAGAATGAAAGTGACTATGAATGAGAAGGGCCCTTTATTTCTAAAGTACATTGAAGTCTTTGAGTTTATTGGCAAATAACTAGGCAAACCTCTTCAAATTTAAGGAGCAATAGCCAATATCAGAAGAAACAATATACTAGAAGATGTAGTTGCGAGAAAAGGCAGCAAACATCTTGTTTCCATTTCACTTTACCTTCAGCCCACTTCCCTTAGTCCTGAAATTAACTCTCATTCACTCTGAAGCTCATTGTCACCCTTCTGAAACTATTCGCTTTAAAATCAACAGTGTCTTGGCAATTCTAAAGTATTTTCCTAGCATCCAAGCCTCTTTCTATTTGATCTTTCTTAAATATCTATTGGGTTGCCGTGAGTAGGGGTCACCTTGATTGCCGTACATGAGTTGAGTTGAGCTGATTGCCCATATTCTACCTCTGGAATCTGTCTTTTTCTTGTGATTTCTGATATTCGATTCTCTCTTCTCTCATAGAAACGTCATTTTGTTGTTCATTACGTAGTCTTTTTAAACTGCCCATTTCTTTCCAGAGCACTCTTTAAACATAAGAGTCTCTTATGCCAATAATAGCACTCCTCATGTGTAACAGCTAGGGTTAGGCTTGGTCCCCGTGTCTTAAGCAAGGCAGAAACATATTCTTTGTTCACCAAAAATAAACCCCCTACTAAAAACCATTAGGGTTTCTCACTGTGACTCTGGGAGACAGAACAGAACTGCCCCCCTGCGTTACTGAGACTGTCCCTCTTCTCTGGAACCCACAGCCTCGTCTTTCCCTGTAGAGAAAGTATCCCAAAGGATAACCCACTAGGCCACCAGGATTCAGTAAAGTAACTGGTTCAGTGAATAAAATAGATATGAATATAAGAATACTGCCAGAAAAATATCCTGATTTTTAAATATGTCTGCTGGAGCTAAAAAATAGAAAGAACTAAGAATTTTGATGTTGAGTTGGGAATGTAAAAATTATCCTACTGGGGACACAAACTGGCGGCGGCGGCGATGGCACTGGGGAGGGCAAGGCAGAGGCGGCAAAACGGGCCGTCTAGCAGACGTGGAGTCGCGTCCCCTCAGGTCCTCTCTGGGCAGCTGCTGACGCAAGGAGCCCACGGGCCCTGTCCAGCCCTCTGCCCACCAGCCCAGTCACCTGCAGGCCTCCCTGCTCTCTGCCTCTGGGACCCGGGGGCGAGGTCCACTCGGCGAGAGAAGAAAACCCTCTCATGCTAGCGTTGCAGATGAGAGAGAGAGAGACAGAGAGAGAGACCTCGTTCAGCCTTGAAACCCATGGGCTCATGACTCCGGTGCTGCGTACATGGCCTTTTGCCACCATCGTTTTTGTTTGCCAGACTACCGACAACCGTTCATATTCCCTTTTCCAAATTAACAACTCACATCTATAGCTGAGTGTAAAATAAAAATCACTGTCCCAACGATTTCTATGATGCCATCAACAGCCGATCAGATAACGTGACCTCACTGAGTTGGTAAAAGTTTCAGCAAGCAAAATTTTTTAAAAATTACTTACTATATTTTAATTTTACATCTAGGTGAATCGGTCTTGTTCTTTTAGCTGGAAACTCGTCTTGATGCTCTCCTTTGGTATGTCCAGATACAGGAGGGAACCCTTCTGACCAAGGGCTCTTTTCTCAAGTGCAGGGATTGCTCTTGTATCCTGAGCTTAACATTCGAGGGATCTCTGGTGGTGGTGTGGGTAGAGCATTGGACTGTTGCTAACCACAATGTCCGCAGTTCAAACACACCCAGTGTTTCATTCTCACCAACCACTTTTCAGGAGCAAGATGAGGCTGTCTGAACCTATAAAGATTTACAGTCTCAGAAACTACACAAGGTTGTGTTTGGCTATTATGAAGAGTACCACCGTTTTTTCGCTAAGATGAGTGATCAAAAGTGATAAGACTCTACCTTTTCAAAGGTGGAAATCTTTCAAGACTCCCCCAAACAAGGCAATCCAATCATGTTCTAGCTCTCACAGGGTTCACTGTCAATTGATTTTTATCAAATGAGAAAACAGAAGTGTAGGGAAGCTAACTGATTTGATAATTAGGAGTGCCCTTATGGATGAAACTTACTATCTAGTTTTACAGGCTAAACCACTGATGGTTCACACATAATTTATTTGGGTTCCTAGGAGACAGATACTGCTATTCATATAAAGTGATATGGATTTTTCCCAAAAAATGGAAATTTTTTCAAAGCTATGTATTTAAAATATTTTTACAAAACAACCTTATCACCTTCAAAGTACTCTCCATAACACTTAGTACAGTTGTCAAATCTGCGATTCCATGCTTGGAAACATTTTTCAAACTCATCTGTTTGGATGGTTGACAGCCTCTCTCTCGTTTTTTTCCTTCACCTTTTCTACATCTTAAAATCACTGTCCTTTCATGTCCCTCTGCATTCATGGAAACAAGAAGAAGTCACACAGAGTGAGTTCAGGTGAGTATGGTACAGAGGGACAAGAGAGGCAAGCTGTTTTTGCCGAAAAACTGGCAAACTGAGATGGCTGCCTGAGCAGGTGCATTGCCACGGTGGCAAAACCAGTCCCCCATCTGCCACAAATCAGGCACTTTTTGTCACACACTTTTATGTCATCTTTTCAGAACCTCTAAATAGAAAGCTTGGTTAACAGCTTGACCTGGTGGGACAAAATCCAAATGTACTACAGTCGACATTTATGTCTATTTGGGAAGCTGATGGAGTCCAGAAGAAAATCTGTCATCAATTGCCATTTCACCTTTTTTGAAATGAGAAAATTACTCATAAACTTGAGGTTTTTCCCATAGCGCTGCCTTGTAAGCTGTGCTCAACATCACAACAGTTTCTGCTGTATTTTTCCAGAGCTGGAAACAAAATTTCACAGCCACATGCTGTTCTCTTAAATCAGCTATCACAAAAAAATGAGGTTCAAGCAAAACTGCTTTTTTTTAAAAAAATCATTTTATTGGGTACTCATACAACTCTTCTCACAGTCCATACCTACATCCACTATGCCAAGCACATTTGTTGCCCTAATCATTCTCAAAACATTTGCTTTCTACTTGAGCACTTGCTATCACCTCCTCATGAACCCTTGATAATTTATAAATTATTATTATTTTGTCATATTTTACACCATCTGACGTCTCCCTTCACCTACTTTCCTGTTGTCTGTCCCCCAGGGAGGAGGTTATATGCAGATCCTTGTAATCAGTTCCCCCTTTCTACCCCACCTTCCCTCCACCCTCCAGGTATCACCACTCTCAGCACTGGTCCTGAAGGGATCATCTGTCCTGGATTCCCTGTATTTGCAGTTCCTATCTGTACCAGTTCCTATCTGTACATCCTCTGGTCTAGCAAGATTTGTAAGGTAGAATTGGGATCATGATAGTGTGTGTGTGGGGTGGTGGAGGGGGACAGGAAGCATTTAGGAACTAGAGGAAAGTTGAATATTTCATTGTTGCTACACTGCACCCTGACGGGCTCGTCTCTTTATTGTGACCTTTCTGTAAGGGGATGTCCAATTGCCTACAATGGGCTTTAGGTCTCCACTCTGTGCTCCCCTTCATTCACATCAATAGTATTTTTTGTTCTGGGTAT